ACAGACACACAGACACACAGACAGACAGACAGACACACAGACAGACACACAGACACACAGACACACAGACAGACAGACACACAGACACACAGACAGACAAAACATGCAGAGAAAAAGTTGAATCTGTGATGTGTTGATGTTTCAGCTGGTCATGTGATTTAGGGCACAGTTTATTTTAAAGACCGCAGTTTGCTGATGATGTGCAACTCTTTGTCTCAAAATATGGCCTCCAGCCACACGTGTCATGTGTCAGAACAATGAATATAATATATCATTAACTAACATAAAACAAACCCTCAGTGCATCATTTTAACAAGTCAGCCACAAATATCTGTGCAGGTAGAAAAACAAAGATGACAACAAAGATAAACTGCGACTCAGTTAGAACTTTACAAGTCACGACTCCTGAGATACACGGCTCCAAATTCTGACAAATATTTGCATCTTATTCTCATCAGAGAACCTCAACCTTTCCTTGTCACAAGTTTCACACTTGTCTGCCAAAGGCAACACACTCGAGGCACCTCAGACAGGAAGTGGTGGGTCTGTTTCTCATCTCAAGGCTTCAGAGACACGTTCACATATACGTCTCCAATAACTGAACAATTTCCAGTATGACCAAAGAGACTGTGTTAAAGTCCCGTCCTCTTTACACGCACTACAGAGGCGGGAACATCAGGGAAACCTTTTAACCTCTCTAACTCAGCCAGGACGCCGACGTCCTCGCTCCCCCCCTCCTCTGTTAAATGGTATCTCATAGACGCACTACGTCAGCAAACCATGTGATGTTTGGTATTGCCGGATTCAGGAAGCTCTCGACTTTTCAAAAATAACATTGTTTTTCTTTTATTTATTATGTATTTGGCACCAGAGCAGCCTAAATACACAAAGTCCAAAATCGTGATGAGTGGTGACAAGTCATGTCATGCTGTTTTTCAACGGGAAAAGTTAAAGGATTACTCGCGATCTCATGTGGAGCTGTTAGCGGGGACTTAGCTGGTTTATAAAAGGTAAGAGTCTCACTCCTACCACTATTTTTGGCTGAGATATACCGTCTAGAAAGTGGGATCATAACTTTCACGTTTCATATGGCTTTATTTGGTGATATTTTATGGTGTTTCTGTGTCATAAACAACATCAGCTATTTTATTTTAGGCAAAATCTTCAACTTTTTACTGACTTCAGAGGCCCATTACTCTGTCTCTGTATCACCTAGAGTGTTTCTGACACTTTCACAAGAAACTTCAGAGAGTTTTCTTTCTGGCAAGACCTCATGCATGCATGTAGTCAGAGCGCTTCAGAAGCTACAGTCATTTTAATTTTAGGCGTTTTTGCTACAAAATGGGATTAATGAGTTCATTGTCAGAGACTCACAGCAGTTCTTTGAGGTGATGTTCCATCTCTTTGAAAACAGACTGCATGTCTCTGAGCTTCTGACTGAGATCATCCAGGTTTGTACTGTTCATTATCAGCTCAGGAGATGAGAAGTCCAGCTGTTCGTCCAACAGTCCAACGTGAGGATGAATGACAGCAAACATTTATTATTAGAAAGAGGACGGAGAAAGCGTAGCTGTGAAGGGCTCTTTCCCAGAACACCTTGCTCCAACACTCAGGACCACACCATGTGGTTAAAAGCTCCAGAAACAACAGTTAAGTAAGAGCGTGTGAGAGGTTTCTGTTCTCCACCTGTTGTTTGAAGTTTAAGAACGAAGCTCTGAGCTCAATAAAACATCGTGTATATTAATATACTGAGAGAAACAAGTCTTATTTAATCATCGACTGAAACAGAATATATTTGTGTCTTACCTGCTTCTGAGCTCCACAGGTGAGTGTCGCAGAGAAAACATCACCAGCTGATCCATTTATTCTGTTCTGCGGCATGTTCCTGTTTTCCTGTTGGCTGATTCAGAGTCAGCTGGTACAAACAGTAAAACACCTCCAGGTGAAAGCGAAACGACTGCGATCCAAAATGTACGCTGGTAATCCCCGGGATTTCCAAAACCCAGACTCTGACCAGGGAAACACTCGGACAGACGAGACGTTAACACAGAAACTAACTCGTGTTTGTGTGTGTGTGTGTGTGTGTGAGTGTGTGTGTGAGTGTGTGTGAACACCATCTGCTTTCACTTTCTGATATTCAGAATTTAATTCAGTCCAACCTCATAATGAAGTCATATTTATTTATATAGTCTGTGTCAGACAACACAGTGAGAACACACTGGGCCTGGGATCTAAGATAATAATATTATTAATTATACTGCTAATGATCATTTTTGATTTCTAAGATGCTCTTTAGGTCGTGCATCTTCAGATCAGTGTAGTTTCACCGCAGCAGACTCAGGTCTATAAAATCCAGCGTCACATGATCACAGATCCTCGTGTCAGTGCAGTCAGATCCTCTTCGCACTGTGGCGTCTTCATCACTTCTCCTTCACTTCTCTCCTTCCATCCAGGTCAAGGACAAGTGGTGCTCAGACCATCAATGACTCATTCCTGTGGCTACTGTGCGTCAACGTCGCCGCCATCTTGGGGAGGTCACTGTCGGCTGGCTAGTACTGTTGTGTATGAAGTCTTCAGCAAACTCGGCGTGCTCACTCCAAAGTCTCCAAAAAATTACAGCAAAGCAGAAAAACCCGACAGCACTCACTAATAAGTATAATACTGTTTAATATAGTGGATTATTGTTGTTATAACTTTAGATTGATTGAATGTGACTATGACTGTGATGGAGTCAATCATAGTTATACATATTATACATACAGTATTACCAACAGTATAGATTATAACTAATTTATTGTAAATATTGTTTTCCTTTATTGTTGTTATTATTTTGAATTCCAAACGCTTGCTTTGGCAATATGTACAGTGTTACCTCACGCCAATAAAGCCATTTGAATTGAAATTGAATTTAGAGAGAGAGAGAGAGGCAGCTGGTTGTTCACAGGTGTGATGGTGCTTGTGTCAGTGACACTTAAACAGAAACATCTTGTTGAACAAGTTGTTATCTTAAAGAAACACCTGATGTGTGGTGACAGACTCTGGGACAGTTATCAGGTGAGTTCCTGTAAACACCTGGTTTAGTGTCAGTGGCAGTCTGTAACTTTTATAACAATATGAGCTAAAACTGTGTCTGTGAGACTCGATGCTCTGCCTGCTCTGTTGCCTTGTAGCATTTCTACAGGTGAAGGAAAACAACCAATCAGAGCTGAAGAGACTCTGAAGGCCAAAGGTAAAAAAATATCCACCCTTTTAATTTTCAGCGTACAACCCTACGATGGTGGCAACTGTCCCACGACACTTCACACCACTTTTCTATTTCCAGCACACCACCGCCTGAAAGCGAAATGTTTTTCGCTCTCTGCCTGTACACACCAGCTCCTGTAGCAGCTCTTCTTCTCTGCTCCTGTGGCAGCTCTTCTTCTCTGCTCCTGCGGCAGCTCTTCTTCTCTGCTCCTGGAGCAGCTCTTCTTCTCTGCTCCTGCGGCAGCTCTTCTTCTCTGCTCCTGCGGCAGCTCTTCTTCTCTGCCAATGTAGCAGCTCTTCTTCTCTGCTCCTGGAGCAGCTCGACTCCTCTCCTCACCATGGATCCATAAAGAGAACTCTGCATCTGCTGCTGTGTCTCATGTGTGATGAAGACTGGATGAGGAGAGACTCGTTGTTGAGGCTGAGAAATATCTTGAGCTAAACGACCCACAGACCCGTCATTATAAAGACAATGTCCACAAAGACACTTCCTGTTAGGTCACAGCTCTGTTGATCGGCTCTACAGGTGAGAAATCAACTCTAATTAGCAGCTGTCCATGTGATTTGAAGCTAACACAGAGGTGAAGTACACGTCTGTCAGTATAAGCAGTCTACCGTTTTTTTCCCCGTTAAAGGGTTTTTTTGGGGAGTTTTTCCTGATCAGCTGTGAGGGTCATAAGGACAGAGGGATGTCGTATGCTGTAAAGCCCTGTGAGGCAAATTGTGATTTGTGATATTGGGCTTTATAAATAAAATTGAAATTGAATTGAATAACTTTGTGTGGTTGTCTGTTGATGAGCTGCAGCGTGACACATCAGGTGTGTGCTAGGAGCAGCACCTGACAGGTGTCATATGATGTGCTGCGATGTGGCGGCTCAGGTGTGTTTGCAGCGTAAAGCAGCTGTAAGTCAGGTTCTGTGACCTGAGGTCAGACTGTCAATCATGAATCAGAATTCAGACACTGGGATTTTTTCTCTCCTCAGATTTTGTGACGTGATTGCCATTTTGGATTCAGGTAAACAGGAGTAACAAGCCCCGCCCACCAGCTGGACCAACTTCCTCATGTTACAGCTTGCTAACAGACTGAGGAGGAGGACGAGGACAACGACCATAACGGTGAGAGGGAAGGAGGACAGACTGTGTCATGTACTTGTCTCACAGGATCTTGGCAGTTTTGTCAAATTTTTTTTTTTGATCAAATTGATCAACGCTAACTTTATTGACGCTCATCAGCCGACACTTCGTCAGGAGACTCTCTGGATTCAGTCATCGTTCAGATAATCAGCAGCTGTAATCGAAAATATCTGGTTCTATGATTATAAAGTTAAAAGTACAAAAATTTTGCGGACATAAAAATTTTTCACTAACTGCTAACTACAACTCCCAGTGTGCATTTGGGCAGTAACTATCCAATCAAAGAGCTCCTGTTGCATTGAAGATGAAAACAACACTGCTGAGAAAAGTGGAAACAGTCTGCAGCTTAAATCAGCTCAGTGGGGGTGAATTCAGTAACCATGGTGACCGGTGTTGTCAACAACTGCATGTTGATGATTCTGCATCGCTCTTCTGAAGGAGTCCTCTCTGTGGCTGCAGCAGCTGAGGCTCATGGGTACTGTAGTATTTAGACATTAACACGGCTTCATTAACAAAAGACTGCTGGTCTGTTTTAAAGTCACAAAACTTTACTGCAAAAAGATTTTAAATATCAGGCTGAACAATTTGTGAACAATTCAAACTTCATAAACTGAACATGAAACACTTCCTGTTTCAAAGCGTCACACTCTTATTTTACAATAATTATTCTTTAAATAAGGCACACAGTGATTTCAGGAAACATCCAGACAGAGAATGAATGAACATTAATGATAATTCAAACACCGCTGTTATAAAATGTTTCTTCACAGAAACAGTTTCAACAAACACTGAACATTAATAAACATATAATATATTTATATCTGCCTATGATGACATCACACTCTGTTATTACGCAGTGTTTCATACTGATAATAAATGATAAAGTGACTTTAAATAATCGATATGTGGAGAAGAAACTGTCAAAGTGCAGCTGATTGTTGTCTCCTCGTCTTTAAAATACTTTCTGAGTAAAAAGATCATTTCTGACGTGTTCAATCTGCAGCAGCTCGTTAGAGAACAATAAGAAGCTGCTCTCATATGAGACTCGTTAAGGCTCAGTTTGTTTCCTAAAGTGCTGAAAAAGTTTGTTCCAGTTAAAATTAAATTATAAAACAAAAACAGACGTAACAAATCTAAAGTCTAAATATTACAAAATGTCAGAGTTTAATCTGTGACATTATCTTCCTCTCTCCTCCTCTTCATCAGCAGTCCTCATCTTCATGTCCTCAGTCAGTCGACAACTCGTCTCTCACTGGAAGGGAAAGGTCAAAGGTTAATCACCAGGTTAATCAGGGTCATGGCGCTAACAGACTGAAGCTAAAGCTAACAGGTCCCAGGTCATGATGTCATGCTAACAGACTGAGGCTAAAGCTAACAGGTCCCAGGTCATGATGTCATGCTAACAGACTGAGGCTAAAGCTAAAATAATCTTCCATTAAACAGATAAGAGTCTTGATGTATAATGTCGACATTATGAGCTCACGGTGCAGCTGTGTATCAGGGGCAAAGGTCACGCCTCTCCCTGCTCTCTCCTGAGATCCGCTGCTGCTGCCGCTGATCGAGTTCTTCCTCATGATGCCTGAACAACAAACACAAGTTATTTTCTCCTATCGTCATCGTTTCTGACGTCAGTATTGTTTCTCTGTGTTAGGCTGCAGCGGTTCCTCCACACCTGCAGGGGGCAGCACGTCCAGCCTCTGCAGGCTGCTTTTGCGAGAAGGAGGGTAGTTGCTGGTCTTGGAGAGGCGGCGTTGGCGGGGGTTCAACATGGCGGCCGGGGGAACGATACCAGGGGGTGGGACTTTACCCATCCTCAGGTACAGCTGCTCGATTTCTGCCTTCTGATTGGCCTGCAGGTTCTGCACCTCCACCAGGTGTCTGCGGTTTGAAACGTGAGATTAGTGCTTCATTTCGTCTGTTTTCATGTGTGAGACGATCATTTCTGTTTTCATCACCTTTCACGGAGCTTCTGCAGCTCCTCCCACATTTCCTCATTCTCACTCTCTGATTCATCGGAGCTGACGTGGGGTGCCGAGCGGCTCCACAACTGGCTGAGGCTGCCGGCAGATCCCTCACACAGGCTGAGGTTCTGCCTCCGACTGCCCCACCTCTTCTTGTCCTCCTCTTCGTCCTGTCCTCCAAGGTTGTCATGGTAACCATGAAAATGACCAGGTGAGGAGACAATCACTGTGCCGATGCTGCTCTGTGATTCGCTCTCCTCCGATGTGCTGCTCTCTGAGCTCTCTGATGTGTTCGCCCTGGAGGGAGGCGGGGAGTGGGCCGTCGGTGTGGCCTGGTTTAGGGGGCGGGGCTCCTGATTACGGACGGCAGGGATGTCTTTAGAGGCCGTCACCTGGAAACGACCGACGGTGAAGAGTGAAGGTGTCTTGACTGAAACAGAGAAACAGAAGAACATCAGTCTGTCCTGAGGGGGGCGCCACAGGAAACACTTTAACTGTTTCCTGTTCAGCATTGAGACGTTCATCCACTGTGTGTGTCTGTTTTTTAAATAAAGAACAAACTGAATCACTGACAGACGAGTACGTCTTACCCTCCTGTATGGGTGACAGACTGGAGGACGATGAGACGCTGGAGGACACCTGGACAAGACTAGGAGCAGAAACAGTCTCTGAACCTGTGAACCAGATAAACGATCAGTGAGTCTGTTCCTGCTGGTGTGATGTCACTTTGTGATGTCAGCAGGGACTCACCATGCAGGGGCGGAGCTGAGCCGACCTTTGGCTGAACAGTACTGAGAGGCTGAAATGAATGAATGAATGAACGAATGAATGAACTGTCTCTCTAACCCTAACCCTACCCCGACTACAGAAACCAGGTTCCTCTAACCAGGACATTTATCTCGTTCCTGCAGGGCAGGAGAGGACTCAGACTTTTCATGAGGAGCTCATGAACACATCATGAGTACACAGGTAAGCCTGTGTCATGCTTTAACAGAAGCTCACCTGTCCTTGAGGTGTGTTAGAAATATGTTTGAGCAGCGCCACCTGCTGGCTGTTGGGGGCGGAGCCTGTCTGAGAGGTGGTGGTGCTGTAGGCCATCTGGAGGGGGAAAGGAGCAGAGAAGGAGGCGTTGCTTGGAGGATGGAGCTTAGGGCCCAGGGATGGAGACATGGGGGGAGTCAGGGGCTGGGGGTGAAATCCCTGGTTGGGGGTCCCAGGTGGGGGCATGAAGGACTGGGCCACACTCATAGCCAGAGAGAGCACATTTGCCAGAGAGAAGAGAGGCTGGTCAGGTGGGGGCCAGTGAGGAGGGAGAGGAGGAGGAGGAGGAGGGGGAGGAGGTGGAGCTGAGGAAGAGGAGGAGGGGGTGAAGAGGGAGGGGTTACTGTGGACTTGGTGGAGGTCGGTGGAGGAGTTATGGGTGGGGAAGTAGGGGGAGTGAGAGGGAGATGGGAGGTTATACTGAGGAGGAAGGGGGAAGTGGGAGGGGGGAGAAGGGGTGGACTCTGGGTGGGGGTAATGGTGGGGGTAGGGGAGGGGCTGATGGGAGGAAGCTGGAGAGACAGGGGGGTAAGATGATCAATAATGGGTCTTTATGTCAGGACATAAAATAAATTACATGTTAAAGTGCTGTTTTAACTTTCTATAAGGTTTATTGGAAACAACAGGGGCCCCAGGACGTTTCCCTGAGGGACCCCAGAAATGATTGAAGATGGAGAACAAGAGGATTTACCTCAGTGGTGGACTCCTCCTTTAATTTATAAAAAATTGCGACCTAACGTTTTTGAAAATGACTGTATAAAGTTAAAAAGTAGACGATGTGCGGCTGTTGTGACGGACAAGATTAAGTGTTCACGTACCTGAGGAGGTGTGGAAAGACTGTGACCTCAGGGGTCTGACAGACGGCGTGGCCTCAGGGTCAATGTAAAAGTCTCCGCCCTTCAAGGGGGAGGGGTCAGCATCTGCAATGTCTGATCGGACAACATATCTTAGATGTGTAAAGACCTCATGATGTATCAGAAAACAACAGTCAGTGGTGTTAGCAGCTAATGCTACTCCCAGAGCGCCACACTCCTCCCAGGTGAAGTTATTATGAGTCTTAGTGAAAATACTAAACTCAGAGAGGTGACGGTGACTCAGGAGCTCAGCTGATCAACTCTCAGCAGCATTTTGGAGAATAATTTGTCCTTATCCAAAAAGTTTCGATGACGTGTCATAAAACATATGTGGAGTTTGGCATTCTTCATGTTTCCTTTTTAATTTAGACACTAAAAATAATTCACTTTAACTCACCAACAGGTACAAATATCGGATCCTGTTGAATCTGAATCAAAATTCAGTTACAGCTGAAATCTGTCTAATTAGCTCTGAATAAGAGTTTTATGAAAGATATATGTGAAATTGTTTTTGTATCTGATCATGAACTGAACTTCGTTTACCTTCTTTACCTTCGACCTTAACTAGCTTGTGCTTTTGGTTCATTTTCTTACCAGGAAGTGAAGACGAGGACAGATTTCTGGTGAGGCCCTGCGCCGGCAGGTTCGGCTTAAGAAAAACAAACAAACACAAACCAGTCAAACAAAAATAATTTATAATTTAAATCTTATCTGAAAAGTCTCTTCTGTCTCTGTGTTTTATTTCTCAGGACAAAAGACAGCTGAAGACGTCGTGTTGAACAAACTAGGATGATTTAGTGTTCACACACACACACACACACACACACTTACAGCAGAGCTGGGCAGCGTGGAGGCGTTCAGGTGAGATAACCTGTCGCTGTCAGCTGGCTGCTGTTGGTGCATCATAGACTCCACCTTGTTGATGATGTCATACATGCGGAGGGTGAATCCTTCTCGTTCCAAAGGCGTGATGAAGTCTCTGTGTAGCTGAGTTCAGACAGGAAACGATACACAGCTGCATCACACTGACGCTGATCCAACATGATGATCTGTGATCAGTTAGTTTCTCCTTTGTTTCATTAATTTAGCTGTAAAATAATTAAATGTATTCACAGATATTTTATTTGTGTAACGTGTGTGTGTGTGTTTGCAGCTCTGTGTTATATCTGCAAAATAGTTTTGTGAGTTTCCAAATGTTTTTTTGTATTTGTGAAGGTCGTCTGATATTCACTGATGACACGCTTACACACAGACGGACTGTCGATCTGTTCACAGATCCTATTGGCTGTTGGCGCTCACCATCACAGAGGCGATGTCCTCTGGATTGTCTCCGTCCAGGTCAAACTTGAACGTCACCATCTTACTGTCGTGAGTCTGCAGCTGACACTCCACCACCCGGTCCACTTTGTCTGACACCTGAACGCACCACAGTGTTACACACAGCATGTTATATACGTATACATGAATCTGATCATGACATCATCCCTGTGATCCTTCGACGTGCCCTAGTTTTCCACCTGAACGCATCACACCGTGTGTTATATATTATTTACATGATACAAATCTGTAATCTAATGATGACATCACCCCTGTGATTCTCAGACGTCCCCTCGATCTCCGCCTGAATTGCTTCGTAGCCGCTCGTCTGGCGGCTTCCTGGTTACTTTTGTCTGATTGGTCTTCATTGCAGTCACTCAGACCTGAGGTCACATCAGAGGCACAGCTACACGACAGGAAGTGAAGAGACAGAAGACGGTGAGACATTTAAATGTGAAGACGAGCAAAACTGGTTCCTGGTGTTCAGTGAACACGTCGTGTACTGTCTCTGTGAGGACTCACTGTTTAGGAGGACCCACCTTGAGACAGAGGACATTTTGATAAAGTGGGCATGTGTGCAGTAGCTCTGTAGATTCAGGTTAATAAACATCCTCTGAGGTCTAAAAATGAAGGTGTGTTTGTGTTACCTGTCGACAGGTGAGGTGAAGCCGCTGACTGATCCAGACGACTGTCTCTCAGCAGCCTTGGACACAGCGATGCTCTGGAGACAAACACAAACAGTGAGATTCATGATGCTCATGATGATGACTCATAGAGACGCTCAGTGAGACGTCTCACAGAGCTCTCGTGTCAGTACCTCATGTGCTCCTGCAGGGGGCGACAGAGCTTCATCACTGACTGCAGCTTCAAACATAAAACACCTGAACCTGAAACACCTCTGATGCTGATCACATTCATGTTATCAATAACTATAAATCAGATTATTGATATTCACAACAGAGAAAACACGTGTTTGTGTTGAGATGATTTTAAAACGACGTCTGTGTTTACAGATCATAACGGGACAAGAGCAGAAGCACTGAGTGACATTTATAGTTTCTATCCACCTTATTCCTGCCCCCATGATGCCTTGCGCAAATTATGTGTATGACTTCTGGCACTGAACCAAAACCGGCGATTTCCAATGGTATCAGTGTTTACAGTTGTTAACAGTTGTTTACAGTTGTTTACAGTACTCTATTCTTCTTTCCAAGAGGGAAATAAAAGGTGGAACACACCACCTGTTAAAGCTCAAACAGGATCATGTGATCAAATCTCTGCCATCTCTGACCGCCATCTCAAAGCAACGCTAACAGTTAGCACGTTAACAGTTAGCACGCTAACAATTAGCATGCTAACAGTTAGCATGCTAACAATTAGCATGCTAACAATTAGCTCGCCTTGCTCCGTTAAAATATCGTGAACTTTAACATGTCCCTGAAGGAAACATCTGCTCCTTCTAAAGATGATTTCTGACACTAAGACATAACTCAGTATTAACTGTAGCTCCATGTAAAGTGAATAAATGTGATGTTTCCAGCTGATCCTCCACTCGTCTGCGTTAACCACGCAGTTTACACGTTTGTGTAACTTGTGATTTATTATAAACTGTTCTGAGTAAAACATGAAGCTGAATTCAGCAGCAGACTTCAGTCGGGACTAACTAGCTCACTGCTACTTCCTCTGTCTTACAGGAAGTGCCTGCTCACCTTGGGGAAACGCAGCACAGGGAGGGGCGGAGCTTTGGATGGAGTCCAGGTCACATGGCGAGGTGTTGCCAGAGCCGGGGCGGGGACTGAAGGGAGGGGGGAGTAGTGAGTGCCCGGAGGGGGCGTGGCTTCAACTTTCTGCAGGACGCCTGAGGAGCTGAGGGAGGTCTCCATGTCACAGTCCGCTGCCAGGGAAAGAGTCAGGAACACACAACTGATTATTGGAATAAAATAAAATAGTAAATCATATAAATAACAAATATTAACAAAGTTAATTACAGATAAATAATATATTAATCATGATAATATCCTGACATGTAGCAGAGGAGTGCGAGGTGTTTCTGGCCATCTCCTCGTCTCCGTCCCCCTCCGTCCTGCTGGAGATGCTGCCGATCCCAGAATCCACTGGGCTGCTACTTGATGATGTCACTGTTGCAGAGGGCGGGGCTTGTATCCAGGCGGGGGTGGGTGCTGAAGGGTCCTGCTGTGAGTTTAAACAGAGTTAGTTCAACTGTTGTAATCTGAGTTCTCCTCGATAACGTCCGTCGACTCGTGTTACTACTCTGTACCAACTTTAACCAGCGCAGTGGAGGATGGTCGCGTCTGAGCGAGAACGTTTGAGGCTGAAACATGAATCCAGAACCTGCAGTTCCTCTAATGTCCACATCCATGTTCACATGTAGAAATCAACATGTTTGCAGCCTGTCTGGTCTCTGGAGATCATTTTTATACAACTCAGCTGTTTACATTTTATTGAGGCTTAAAGTCACATCATTAAGGGGTCGGAGCCTCTTTGAGAGACAGGCTGTCTGCTGAGTCAGATCCAACCCTGGCACCTCCCAGCTCCTCTACAGCTCCGCCCTCAAATTGTAGATGATGTCATCGTCTCTGTTTTAAATGAACAAATGAACAGCGACGGGAGTTTTGAAGCTTCTGCACCTCAGACGACGTTTTTAAAAATCTGTTTGTGTGGACGAGAGACAAAAACGTCAAAGAAAATATACGTTTATAAAATATAACCTCAGATAACGACCTCCGTCCTGCTCTCTCATCTCTTTAATGACGCCATGATCTTTGCTCCAGCGCCACCTTCAGGACAGACCTGACACGTGCGGCTGTTTGCCTGTCAGATTAAACTCTGCGTCACCGTCCTGCCCTGTTTCTATGGAAACACCTTTACCTGATTGGCTGCCCTCCCGGCAGTGGACGAGCTCGTGGCGGCTGCTGGTCTCTGATTGGGTGGTTCAGGTGGCTGGGGGGCGGGGTCAGACTCCTCCTCCATGACACCTTCCTTCTTCTGAGCTTCCTCCAGCAGGCGGCGCCGTTTCTCCCGCTGACGCTTGATGGCCGTGACGCAATGTCTTATTGCCTTTGCGACCACCATATAGTCGGCCTCACACAGGAATCCCAGCACCACCTGAGGGACGGACACACAGAGACACAGGTGAGACCACCTTCATCTGTCCGCCTGCCAGGTGATGTCATCAGGGCGGCGCTGCAGGTACCATCTCCTGAGCGACCTCCTCCGGGACGTCTTTGTAGAGCTCGAACAGGAACTCGATGGCGTTGTTGTCTTTGTATTTCCCGTGGAGCTTCTTGTTGTGGTCCATCCTGAGCCACAGCGTCACCCCCGACTTCAAGCCGTCGTCTTCCTCCGCCAGCTCCACGCGGACACCGAGCTCCTCCTGGAAGAACCGCAGATCCAGCAGGTCCTGAACTGTGAACCTGCCACAGGAAACAAAGGAGACACAAAGACGATCAGAAACTGGAGCTGAGCGTCAAACTGGACTGGTCAGTTTGACGCTCAGGACTCGTCAGTTAACACTGATCATGTCCACAAGAAAGTGCAGAGCAGGCTGTATTTCCTGAGGAGACTGGCGTCCTTTAATGTCTGCAGGAGAATGCTGCAGATGTTCTACCAGTCTGTGGTATTCAGCACCCTCTTCTATGGGGTGGTGTGTTGGGGAGGCAGCATCAAACAGAAGGACACACAGAGGCTGGACAAACTCATCAAGAAGGCCACCTCTGTCTTCTGTGCAGAGCAGGAGTCTGTGGTGTCGGTGGCAGACAGGAGAACTATTTCCAAACTGCTCTCCATCACTGACAATAGCTGCCGCCCACTGCATAAACTGGTGATGGGGCAGATGAGCTCATTCAGTGGGAGGCTGCTCTCACTGAACTGCTCCACAGACAGGCTGTGGAGGTCCTTCCTGCCCAGAGCCATTAGACTGTTCAACACAACACTGGAGAGGGGAGGGAGATGAGTTGCGGGGGGATTTGCACATTTGCATATTTGCACATCTCACTGTCATGCTATTTTTATCCTATTTTTATTACTATTTATTCTTGCACTTTATTCTGTCTTTATGCACTGTGTGTATGATTTGTGTTTTTATGTTTATGTATGAGCAGCTGAAAATGCAATTTCCTTCGGGATTAATAAAGTGCCTACCTACCTAAACCAGAGTCCACCGGCCTGACGCCAGCGTTACAGACACACTGGGGACACAAAATAAATCTGTAAAATGTTTCAGTTATTGTGTCTCTCGTTTGGATCAGGAAAAACAAAAAGACATTTTATTTCTTTGATAACTCACAAACACAAAAACAGTGTTGTTTGTTTCCTGTTTATTGAATTTAAACCCACAGAGTGTAAAAACTAAAGTCTGAGCTAATGTTGCTAAAGCTAACAGCTGAGTGACATCAACACTCACTATCAGGACAACTAATCAATAACTTAATCTAATTACTGATCAGAATCATCTGATGACTGACTGTTTCCATGGAGACAGTTACTGGAGTTCATGTTGTGTCACTGCAATGCTTCAGAGCGTCCAGCAGGTGGAGCTGTTTCACGCTGATCAGCTGATCGGTCGCTGTCACACCTGAGCTGCAGTTGTCTTTTAGTTTGTGACAACTTTACATGAACTCATTGATTGGACAGTTTGGTGATGTCATCCTGCATCATCAGTGGGTCCACCACAGCTGTCCTATCAGAGAGTTTCCATCAGACACCTGAGCTGCAGGTGAGACAGGTGTGAATGCTGCGCTGTGATTGGTCCGTTACCTCTCGCTGCTGTTGGTCCGAATGCAGCCTTCAATGATCTCCTTCAGCTCGGGAACTTTGACTTTGAAGAAACTGTCGGGTTTGATTCCCTGAGAGACGGACAGACAGAAAGTCAGTCATCTGACCAAACACAGGAAGTAGACAGCACTCAGTGGGCGAAGCCTTACGTTGGTGACTTTGCGGTAGATCTGGGCGGCGTTCTGACACTCGGAGTACGGATACTCGGACGTCGCCATCTCCAGGATGCACATACCGAAGGCGTAAACGTCCACGGCCTCGTCATACTTCTCCTCGTACATCTCTGGAGCCATGAACTCTGGGGTCCCTGAACGTATCACAACAGCTGCTTCACTAACTGTGTTAAAACCGGAACATGTTTGACCCTGCCGGCTCTCTGTACACGCTGTGTTCTTACCGATGACGCTCTTGGCGAACGAGGCCTTCTTGAGCGTGGCGAGGCCCAGGTCTCCAATCTTGACGGAGGCGGTGGGTCCGGTGATGAAGACGTTGTCACACTTGAGGTCTCGGTGCAGGATGGGGGGGCAACGTGAGTGCAGGAACTGCAGTCCCTTCAGGATCTGGAAGCTCCAACGCTGCAGCAGCTTCAGCTTCATCTCACGGAACCTGCGCAGGTACCTGAAGGGGTCACAGAGGAAACACACACCTGCTCAGGTCAGGTGACCTCCAGGGACTGATGAGTACATGGGGCGTTCAGGGACTAAAATGTTGTGTGGTGTTCAGGGTCTAAAATGTTAATGGGAAATTCAGGGACTCAAACATCATGGGCTGTTCAGAGACTAAAATGCCGTGAGACTTTCATGGACTGAAATGTTGTGGGATAAAATGGACTCTTATGGCGCCAGTTGTGTCTTTGATGGCGGACTCACGTCTTCAGCGTCCCGGACGTCATGAGCTCTGTCACCAGGATAGTGCATTTGTGTCCCCCCAGCGTGCACTTCCAGGAGTCGAAGAATCGGACGATGTTGGGATGCTGCAGAACCTTCAACATCTCCACCTCCTCAGTGAACCTCTGACGCTCCGACTTGGTCAGACGATGAGTCTGAGGATCAGTGAACACATCGATTGGTTTGTTGAACCTGAACTGATGAATACATGAAACACCTGAGTCAACACGAAGGGGACAGAACCCTGAGATACAGAGCTGAAGATCTGCTGACAAGGTAACACTCAAACGTCTCACATTACTGCTGAGCATCATGGGAAATCAGCAGCACACACACACACACACACACACACACACACACACGCACTGTTGTTTGTTTGTTTATGACCAATCAGCTGCTGGAGATTCTGATGTTTGTTTTTAGTTTCTAAAGGTCGATGATGTCATTAAACATCATCATGAAATTATAATTCAACACACAAATAAAATTAAAGAAATTCAACACAGTAAAATAAAAACTAAATATAAAAATAAAATAAAACATGAAGTTAAATAAAAACAGATTAATAAAGTCAAATAAAATAAAGTTTAAAAAAGAAATAAAATAAAATATTAACATAAACGAGCAAAATGAAAATATTAATCATATAAATTTGTTTCTTCGTCATGTTGTGACTTTTCAGCAGAGGGACGCCGATCCACAACAGGAAGTCACAGAGAGCTGAACTTTGACCTCATTAACTCTGTGTGTGTGTGTGTGTGTGTGTGTGAGAGAGAGCTGTTATCACCTTCAACCAGCAGCTGTCTGTCCAATCAGATATCAGACAGTGTGTACGACACAACAAACTGCTGAGTCACTGTTCACACTTTATCTCTCTCTCTCACACACACACACACACACACACACCATTGTCATGGCCTCTTTCAGATTCTTGTTTTGTGAAACATGAGGTTAGCGTAGAAACCATGAATTCAGCAATTTAAAATGGAATTTGGACATTATATTGGGACATTGACAGGACTCAAGAACCAAAAAGCAATTAAAACGGTGCAAATATGTGAAGCTTTAGGAATTGTATGATTTATGAAATGAACTAAATTGAGATACCCCTGGATATTATTTTTCT